TGAAGCAGTTTGGTTACGAAGAATTCTGGCAGATCTTCATCAAGTTCAAAAATCACCAACTAATATTTATTGTGATAACATGTCCACAATTGCAATGACAAAGAATCCCGTTTTTCATAGCAGGTCAAAACACATTGAGCTTCGTCATCATTTTATCAGAAAATTGGTTGAAGACAAAGAGATCGAATTAAAGTTTTGTGGCACTGATGAACAAATTGCAGATGTTTTCACCAAAGCACTTCCTAGAGAGAAGTTTTATTTCTTCCGAGATAAATTAAGTGTGCAGGACAAATGCATTAAGGGGAGTGTTAAAAGTAATGCATATTAGTTGTATCTTTTCCTACAGGTTTCTTATGAAGAGTTGTATCTCTTGACTATATGAGAAGTTGTATCTTTTAGATATCAAAAGTTGTATCTGTATCTCTTGGAATTAATTCAAGAGTTGTGTCTTATCATGTAAAGGTGTAAATGTAATTATAAATAGCCAATGTTATAGGCTGCTGTTGTATCGAAGAAGTTAATAAAAATCTGTTTGAATAATTCTCTGTTTTACAAACACTCTCTGCCTTACTTTATAATTTCATTCTATTCTTCAGTTTTGTGATCATTCCCCCAACAAGCTCGTCCTTTTGAAGAAATTCAGAAAATACTTAGAACAAGTTATGGTGGTTTGACAAATCGTGAGCAACAAGTTTTCCTTGACATTGCATTCTTTTTCAAGGGTAAAGATATGGACTATGTGATTCAAGCACTAAAATGTCACAAGCTTGACTCTCCTGAGAATTGTATTCAAGAGCTCGTAGAGAATGCCATCATAACTATTGAAGACAATAGGATTTTGATGCACGACTTACTTGAACAAATGGGTAAGGATATAGTTCATGAAAAGTCTCCCAATGAGCCTGGTAGACGTAACAGATTGTGTTGTTAGGAGGATGTGCACGAGGTTCTAACCGAAAATACTGTAAGTAGAATATGCATATGTATCTACACATATTCTTATATTCTAAGCAGTACTTGTATTTTTATTCTATATATGACGGCCTTAATACTACAGGGGACGAATGAAGTTAAAGGCATCGTAGTAAATTTTCATGAAGATGATGACATACCTTTGAATGCAGACAGCTTCTCAGGCATGAAAAACACTACTACAGAAATTGAAATAGACGATGGGAATCCACCGTCGTCTAGCATGTTTTAAAACCGACGTGAAATCGACCTCCATCTTTTAATGCATAAAATAACGACGGAAAATACCCGACGTTGTTAATATATTACACGTCACAACAAAAATAAAACCGACGTCTAATTCATAAATAAATAGCTTAAAAAGACAACTTCGACTATATTAGACGACGGTTTTAGTAAAACACAGACGTTTAAATAATGTTAAATGTCAAGAACAACTACAAAGCGGACATAAGAATGATTATCAACGTCTGTAATTGAAAGAAAACCGACGTGTAAAACGTAGAAACCGTCGTGGTTAACATATACTCTGGAAAATAAACGACGTCGTTAATATATTATACGTCATAGAAAAAATAAAACCGACGTCTAATGCGTAAATAAATAGCTTAAAAAGACAACTTCGACTATATTAGACGACGGTTTTAGTAAAACACAGACATTTAAATAATGTTAAATGTCAAGAACAACTACAAACCCGACGTAAAAATGAATATCAACATCTGTACTAGAAATAAAACCGACGTATAAAACGTAGAAACTGTCGTGGTTAATACATACTACGTTCACTAAATAAAAAAACTGACGTCTAAAACAAATAACATGATAAATTAGACGTCACTTTTGTCAAAAAAAGTGACGTTTGAAAGCTTTAACATGGCACATATTTACTTGGACCGACGTAAAAAAGAAATAACCACAACCCTATAGGTCACCACAGACGTTGAAAATGAGTTTGACGGCTTGAACAGAGAAATAAACGACGTGGATTTAATATTGCACGTTGGTTAATTAAAATATCTGTCATGTTTAATCTATTTACTATAGCCTAGGAGTCACATTGTAGGACGTGGTTAGTTATTTACAACGTCGGTTTGTATAGGCTTTGACGTGATTGGCATTTTAAAAGTCTCTTTTGTGATCCACTTAGACGTGTGTAATCTCTGAGACGTCATTGCTTTCATCCTAACCGTCGTTAAGATGTAAGGAGACGCTTGAATTATGGATTTGACATCGGTTACTGTAAAATAAAAGTCGTGGTTAGAGCTTTACTATGTCCCAAGAATCCAATTAATCGACGTTGTTATGTAACTTACTACGTCGGTGATTTGTTTATTCCATGACGTGGCTAGTCTTTGTTAAGTCTCTTTTATAACCTTTTTGGACATGTGTATTCTCCGAGACGTCAATTGTTTTATTATAACTGACGTGCAACATTGTTGTTACGACGGTAATCATCAATCGATGCTATCCTTAAATTCATCGGTTTGAGCGCTTCCGTCGTGTTATTCTTTATTGTACGTCGTTGATTATTTTCTCTACCGTCGTAGTTGTTGATATTTATTAACCATGTTTGATTTAATTTTAATTAACCGACGTGTTTTCTTTTTCAAATGACGGTTTTTATTTCATTTTTTCATTGGCATTCCACGTCGTTTTTGAAAACCCGACGTTGGTTATTTTTTAGACGTCTCTTTTTGCAATTTTTGTAACTTGACCGTCGTATTTTCAGCTTTAACCCATTATTTTTAATTTTTGATTTGTCGTGCCCAAAGCCTGCAAAATGAAAATGTGATCGGAATTAAAATGATATACAGAGCTATTAATTAATGTCATACAATTAACTGCATAACTAATGTCATACATTACAACAATCAATCAATCCATATATCTTCACACCCATCTCTAATATTCTCACTCCCAAACTCACCCACTAGGTCATCAAATGTGTTAACATTTGGTATCCCTCTAGTAAATGGCTCACACTCGATTCTAATATCACCTAGCACATCATCACCAATAACATCATTATATTCTCTATTAGGCATTGATAACACTACCGACCAACCACGATGCATTGGGT